GGGGGGAGGGGGGGCGGTCGTTCTCTGGCACATAAGTATGACGTTGGATGGCGTCGATACAAGCAACACTGTCTTCTACTTTATGAATGCCAGCAGTGTGCGTTTTCGCATCGCCTCACCGGCGCAGAGATGCTCATGGTACACGCTGAGTGAATAACACCTTCCGGCAACCTCACACGGATCGCGCACCTCCGACAGCAAACGGTTTGTTGAACAGCCGCAAATTCTTATGGTTATGCCAACGAACACGCCGGTGCCAGCGGAACTAAAGGCAAAATCGATTTCAATGGGTTTATTTTACTTGCCGGCTCTACCCGCTGCAACCACATGAAAACATGTTACTTTTTTATGACCACTCTCCACTGACATTGCCATTACGTGATCCGCTACAGCAATCGGCAGCGTGGACAGGACCCCCCACATGTCTTTCATCTTGGCGATAAATAGGCAGGCGTCGGTGAAGATAACAGCTCCCCTCGGTGGCCGCCCTCACTGCTTATAAACGGCGTGCGAGGAGTGAGCCGTGCGAATGCCCACCAGTAGCGAAGGACAAAGGCCTGGCCGTACTTCCAGAGGATTAATATCACAAGTTCGATACGATGCTCACATCTTTAGAGTGCGTTTCGCGACCCAAAAAAGAAACTCATATTGAGCAGCTCCCACGCCGTCACGCAAGCTGTCTTCAAGCCACACTTGAGCTTTCCACATGTGGCGCCGCTGCTCTTCCTCCTGCACCGCATGCTCCAAGCCTGTGTAGGTTCCATCAGGCACAGCGCATCCACAGGCATCACATCCCTTTCTCTACACACTAGCACCCGAAACCGCAAAACAAAACGGGCCCAAAACAAAAAAAAAGTAAATTAATCAATTTAACGCATTCTGGTATCACAAAGAGCAGTGTATACAATCTCCACATAGCCTTACAGAAACCGTGCAAATTATTTGAAAGCAAGAAAACGAAATGATTAATGGCTAAAAGGAACCTTACTCCTCCACCACCACGTTGGTCTTCGTCTGCACGTAGATACCATCCAGGAACTTACGGATATCCTTCTTCTTTACCAGGCACAGCTGGTGCATCACGGCAGCCTCACGCGAGACCTTCTCGAGGTCGTTGCCCTCCAGCACGAGCTCGTCCTTCACCACAGCGGCGTCAGTGCGGTAAACCTTCACATCATCTGGGATGACCTGGCGGCGCACGCGCTTCTCGCCAAGGAAGTTACGGATCTCCACAAGCTGGTTCTCCACAGAGACGGAGATGGGAAAGTGCGCGTAGGCAAAGCGGACCTTAAAGCGGAAGCCCTTGGTCACGCCCGTGATCATGTTGCGCACATGCGAGAGTGCTGTGTTGATGGTGGAGTTGTTGATCTTGTTGCCGAACCAGCGAACGGCTGTGAAAGTGTGGGACTTCTTGTTGACGCGGAAGTCGAGCTGCAGGTGACGCAGGTCCTTGGTGAGCGTCCCGCGCTTCCCCTTGACCGTGACGACGCGGTGCTTCACAGAGACGTCGACGTCCTCCGGGAATTGGATGCAATCTTGTGTCTTCACCTTCATGGTTTCCTTTTGCCTGTCGCACAAAAAAAAAAAAAGACAGAGTGAATAAGAAACACATAAGTCAAGAAGTAAGAAAGAATTGGAGTAAGAATGAAGGGAGACTGTGTGCTCGGTCAAACTGGCATTGCAGAGAGCACGGAGTAGCACTCTACCAATATGTCGAAGGAAATGTCATCACTATCACTCAGTTCGTGGTTCGGGAGGGAGACGAGGCGTTGCAAGGTCAGCAACTTCACGTATACGGTGCCCCTGTGCAGCGAGTAACCACCTCGCCCCCGCAGCAGAGGAACTATAGCCCTCCAGCGCCATGGCGTTCAGCATCTTTGACAGGCAAATCACGTGCATCATCGACTCAATTACTAGTTGGTCGGACGCGGTTGCCGAGAAACTTGGTGTGTCTTGGTATGACTGCAGGAGGCAGCAGGCCTCATTCAGGCGTCGGTTAGATTCACGGAGCGCGCGCTCGAGCACGCACTTCTCCTCCTCCTCATCATCTTGCCCTTTCTCTTTCTCCTCCCCGTCCACTGCAGGTTCTGTAGAACTCTTACCATCTTCGCGCATCACCCGCCGCGTGCGAGCCCGTATCCTTTTGTAGCAGTCACCAAACTGATACGCCACTATGGCACCCAATATGGAACGCAGAATGCCGACTTTGTCAATAACATTAGAATCAGTAACAGCATCCCCATTCGCAACGGACGCGGTCTCCGCTGCGCCTGGACTATTCTCTGGTACAGGAAGCTGCGCCTCCAGAAAGCAAATACGCGACTCAGCGGCAATAAGCTGTTCGGCTTGCCGCTTCACCGTTTCACGAAGTTCGTCGATCTCAAGCAACATGTCCTCGTTTTCCTCTATTACACGACGAACAAAAGAGTACTGCAGGAGGTGGCTTTGCGTTACTACACACTTATTTTCAGGCGGACTGCCAGCATCCTCGATTGATTTCTTTGGGGGCATCTTCAACGAAACCAAAAAAGAAAATCAACCAACAGAAGGTATCTCTCTCCTACCTTCCAAACTACCCACCCGCCCCAACACATACTCATACACAAGTACTCTATCCTCTTCATTCATAGGAAGAAGCACCTCAGTGACCTATTGTGCACAATCCCTACAGACATAATCCGTCACGCCAGAATGAAAAAGAACCCGGGCACAACTTTCAGAAATAACTACTGTTGATTTCCCGATGATGGCACGGCAAGTGACCCAGTTTCGTATACACCATTGCCATTGACATTACCTTTGTTATTATTGTCGTCAGCTGGCCGCCCAACCTGCGCTGGTACTGGCGCCCACGTGTTTGGCACCGCCTGTTCCACCACCACAGACGACCCGCTCTGCGCCGGCGTGCACCACTCCTGAGGCTCCAAGGCCGTTTTCCACCCCCCTCCAGAAGTCTGCGGTTGTTGCTGTCCCCAGGGCTGGTGCTGTTGCTGTTGCTGTTGTTCTTGCGGTGATGGCGACAAGGTCGGTTGTCCCCACTGCCAACCTTGTTGTTGCTCTTGTTGCTTTTGCGAAGGCGGTCCTTTCTGCCACTCTGGTTGCTGCACATGTGGTGAAGGTGGAAGAGCATGGGCTTGCTGCCAACCACCTTGCTGTTGTAGTGTTTGTTGTGGTTGTGACAGAGGGGGTTGTCCCTGGTTCCATCCCTGCTGTTGCCCGTATGGGTTCTGAGCATGGCCTCCTAACTGTGGAGGCTGCTGAAAGGGCGGCATAGGGTTGGGCGGTAGCGGTGCCGCCGGCAAAAGGGGGGCGACTGGGTACACTGGTAGCCGTGCATTCACAAACTGCTGTTTGAAACCACCCCCAGCGATACTAAAGAAGCTCCCAAGAACCTGTGTAAGAGTTAGAACACTGAGGTCTATGGTGCGTTGCCCCTCACTGTAGAGTTGAGAACAGATTGCCTTATTGTTTTCGGTAGCTCTCCAGAGCTCAACACGCCAGTTCTCCATAATTTGTTCATTTCGTGGAATACGAGATATATCCTTGGGTGGGCTGCGACGCAGGTCCAGTACTTTCCTTCGAAAGAAGTCGTACTCCAATTGATTTTTGCGGCATGCGTCTTCTGCATCCTTCAGTTTGTTTACACCTTTAATAAAGGAATTCAGCATATCAAAGCCCTGATTCTTAATGCCTTTTTGATGCTCCTGAGCAGTTGCGATAAGTTTGGTGCCCACCTCTAAGACATCCTCAGCGAGCTGGCCAGACTCCGGCTGCAAATCTGGCACCCTCTGGTACTCCTCCCCAACACTCTTTAGAACCTTGCCCAGCTCCTCAATGAGTTCTGCGGCATGTATTAATTTGGTGCAAAGAACCTCGCTTGTCTTTTGGAACTGGCGCACCTTTTTGCCTGCATCAGCCAGCATCTCATCCTGGCCGCTTGAATCTGTGTGGGTAACGATCTCCCTGATGCTTTGTGTCGTACGGCGCGCCAAGCCCTTTATGGTGTCCATGGCCCGTCCCTACAAAACGTTTTCCTGCGATAAAAAAGGAAGTGGGACCTCACACTTCACACACGAACAAACACACAGACTTTTTGTTGTTGTTGTTGTTTTTCTTTATTTCTCTTTCTACGGCACTGCGTGGTCGGCTATGATTGATCTCTACGCAATCCCCATGCGAGAAAGAACCATGGAAAAGAGGAAACAATGGCAGAGGGGCGAGGGGTATCTGCCACTTGTTGGCCAGCCTCACAGCAGGCTGCACGGTGTCCACTAGGCCCACCGAGTATCGGAGGGGTAGCCCTTGCACACATCATCTACCCTCTCCACTACAAAAATAGCCATTTAGGACATCGGTACAGTAGGAAGAGAAAAAAGACAACGAGGTGAGACTTTCAACTCCTCTCTGCTCTTTCTTTTTTTTTTGTTTGCTTTTTTCCTTCAACTCTCCAATAATCGCGCGGATTGTTGCTACCAAGTTTTGTCCTCTCACATATTCCTGCAATTCGCTAAACAAATGTAGCCTCAACCAATCACACTGGCACCCTGAGTGTTTACTGCTATGGCCCCCAAAAAGAGAGAGAAATAGAAATAAATGTGATCAGTTTCTGTTATAGATCATCTCTATATGAAGGAACAAAAGAATGGGAGATCGAAAAAAAAGAAACATCCAGTAATCTATACGGTGAATTCAGTAGTCTGGGTTGCTGAGGTCACAGTTCTCAGAGAGCCGGAACTCGCCTTGGCCCACGATATTTCCTTCCTTCCACGTACCTATATACAAGGAACCGTCCTTCAGTATCATGCGGCCATTGCCGTCCTTCTTACCGTACGCGAAGCCACCTTCATAGCTGGAACCATCAGGAAGTCGCAACAAGCCCTGACCGTGGCGGCGATCTGCTGCCCATTCCCCCTCATATCGGCAGCCATTTGCATACTCAAGTATGCCGTAGCCCGACGCGTCATCGTCGCGCCACTCACCATCGTATGTATCACCATTACTATAGGTAAGAACACCGTGACCGTGTTTCTTACCATAGTGCCACTCTCCAACATAACGATCACCTTGCAGGTACAACAATGTTCCCTTGCCATGGGCTTTATCAAGCTGCCAGTAGCCTTCATACCGTTCGCCGTTAACGTAGTTAAGGATGCCGTAGCCATGTTTCCTGTCATCTTGCCATTCACCCTCGTACTTATTTCCATTTGGAAATACATACGTACCTTTCCCATGCATCTTGCCATCGTTCCACTCACCCTCGTAGACACCACCGTCGGCATAAAAATATTTTCCCCAGCCCTGCATACGACCGTCAACCCAGTCGCCCTCATATTTTTCGGAAACAGATCCATCCGAAGCGGCGTACACGACCATACCTTTGCCGTGACGCTTATCGTCCTTCCACTCTCCCTCGTACCTGTCACCATTCGAGTAGCAGTAAATACCCTTACCATGCATGCGTCCATCCTTCCAGTCACCCTCATAGCGATCGCCGTCGTGGTATTCAAGGACGCCGCGACCGTTGATTCGGCCAAATGTCCAATCACCGGTGTATTTATTTCCGCTGGTGTAGTGGCACGTTCCCTTTCCGTGGACCTTGTCCTCCACCCATTCACCCTCATAGCGGCTACCATCAGCGTACATATAAACACCATATCCGTGGCGTTTGCCAAAGACCCACTCACCGTCGTACGTTTCCTTGTTGGGGTACTGAAGGCACCCACGGCCATGCATTTGGCCATTCTCTATTTCACCAGAGTAGATCATATTTGCTTGCTCGGTATTAAGAGTGGAGCAGTTGTCTTTTGCAGACCCTCTAAACCACACAAGAAAGAAGAAGGTAATAAAAATAATAAGGGAAATAAACAAAACAGCAAACCCACAGATCCACTGCTTCTGATACTTGTCTCTTTTAGTCAAGTATCTCATTTCTTTTTTTCGTCCCTTGTTTCGGTTTTTTTTTGTTGTCTCGTTATTAGTTCCCAGGATTCGTTGTTGAAGCTGTCAGACCTCACCCACTTAGGCGAAAGATAATTGGCCGGGTTAACTGGACAGTGAAAGGAAGACGTGTTGCCAGCAAAATTTTACACAAAAAAAAGAACAACATCGTGTATAAAAACATGTTGCGTCATGTACTGACAGAGATAAAGAATTTTCGTTCGTTCCAAGCACATATCGGAGGCAATTCCGTTGAACATGCATCCTCCATTCGCCCATCCTCCTGGGATTGCCGGGGTGCAGCTGCATCCACCTCGGGGGCCCAGTTGCACCGTGGCGGGGCAACGGGCGCGTTGGCTGCGCTGTGTCGAAACCCGTAGAATATGTACCACAGTGAGGACAGAACCACAATCACACCGTAATTACGCCAAGTAGCCAGCGGCAGAGAAAACAACTGCAAACAATTGAAAAGAACACCCAAAAAAGGCACATAAGGGAAGAAAGGTGCAGCAAACGGCCTCGGAAAGTCTGGAAAATCAATTCTCATTTTCCACATGGAGACACACACGAATATAAAGGTGACCAGTGTACCGAATGAAATCACTTCACCCAGCATCTCCAGCGGAAAGAAACCTCCAATTAGACCACCAGCTATGCCACAGCACACCGTGGCATTCACGGGGGATCGAAATCGAGGATGTATTCGTGACAGCGAAGGTGGCAGCAACCCGTCTTTAGATAAAGTCATGACAAGACGAGGTATTGCAAAAAAACACGCAAAACAAACCGAAGTCAATCCGGAGATGGTGCCGATGTCAACAAGAACACGCAAGAACACCGGGGCTCCAACTTTGTCAAGCGCCATTATCACTGGGGCGTCGACATTCAGGTCAGTGTACTTAACCATGCCTGTGAGTGCAAGAGTAACAGCAACGTAAAGACCAGAGCATATAATTAAAGTATAGATAACACCACGTGGAATATCACGCTGTGGGTTCCGGCACTCCTGGGCGCTCGCACAGATGGTATCAAACCCTACATTTGCGAAAAACACCACACCAGCACCTCGAATGACGCCACTGGTACCGTACTTACCAAATTCACCCTTATTGGGAGGTACAAATGGGGTGAGATTGCACTTGAACTGTGTCCAGTTATTCAGTGCATGGTACGCCCCGTAAATCACAAAACTACCAAGCACCATGAGTTTCACCATCACAAAAAAACTGTTTACAGTTGTTGATTCCTTTACACCCAAGCAGAGTACTATTGAACAAATGATAGCCAAAAACATTGCCGGGAGATCAAAGATGCACCCAGTCAAGACAAAGCCGTTGTCTGAGACACCAATCGGGGATCTGCCAAGCACGGGTGGGAACTCGATAAAAAACTCTCTTAGAAAGGACTGAACGCTGGCGGACCAGCTCACCGAAACAGCAGAACCTGAAACAAGGCACTCCAGTGTGAGACACACCGCTACCACCCACGACGCGAACTCACCAATTGCCACTGCCGTGTGCGTGTAGGCGCTGCCGGCCACGGGAAGCATCGCCACCAGTTCACCGTAACACAGGGCCGTGAAGAGGCATGGAAATACGCACAAAATGAATGAAATGGTGAGGGCAGGCCCAGCGTAAAGTGCAGAGGCCTGGCCCGTGATGACAAAAATACCGGCACCGACCACCGCACCTACACCCAGAGCCACCAGGGACCTCAAACCCAGCGTGCGGCAAAACTGGTTTTGATCTAGTGCCGCAACCGTGGCGTATATGCATTTCCTCCTAAAAACCTGACGGAAGAACGAGATGCCCAGCCTACTTTCAGGCTCAGTAACCACATCCATCACCTTTTGGTAGACCCCAATGGTTAGTGGTAAAGAAAAAATTTGTGAAAGCAAAAACAAAAGACAAAGGAGTGCAGCTGTGAAGAATTCACGATCAGTGAGGTTACATTTCACACAGATACACCAGAAGCAGTTCGGCGGCGGCTTCAACTTTACGCAAGAATAGAGATGAAAGGGGAAGGGTGTAGCGGCTTTGTGTAGAAATAGGAAGCACGGGTTATAAGAATTCTTTGTGTGGTGCCATTGTTTACTTAACTTTTTCACCATTTTGTACAGCCTGAGGAAAGAAAGAGAAAAATCCAATGCGTCACCCCACACATATTCCTATTCACCCCCGCGCATTAAGCCATATCATGCCTCTGTGTACACTTCTTGTGTGTCTTGTCACCAGACCACTTCTAACTCTAATCACCAAAAAAGCTGTTTAGCAGTAGATCGGCTGCTGCTTCCTCATTTTCATCGCATGCACGGTACGCCTCAATGGCATCATATTCGTTCCACGAACCACCGCCGAGCTGGACGAGGCGCTGGACGGCAGCCCGCTCGTTTGGCCCGAGAGGAAGCACAGCAGGAGTGGAAGCGTCGCCACTTGCTGGAACTCTTGTAACCGAGTTGCCCAACATGATAGACATAAATTCTTCAGGATTCTGTTGCACCATCTCAATAATCTCTGGGTGGTGTAATTGAAGTTGCTCTACAACAGTTGCCAAAGCCTGAGGATTGCCCTGAACCACTGCACGGATTTCCTCAAACTGGGGGATGTTCATCAACGCTCTTTGAAGGTCTGAGTCTCCTTGAACACGTTGATCTGGTGATGGTATTGATTCACGTACCCCTCCAGACTGAGCGGGCCCTGCCCCAGTTGACTCCTCTACACTGCTGCTAGGCATACCTGTGCAGAGATATTCAACCGCACGCTCGACATTCATAAACGCTGCACGAAGAGCCGTTGCCACCTCCCGGCGGTCGGAAAACCCCATAGCTACAATCTGTTCAATGAGTACGGGGTCCACACCATACGTGTCAATCCCTTGACTGGGCGCCGGACTTTCCGCTGATGGGTTCAATTGCGGGCCCCCTGTGTTACGAGAAAACAGTTCTGACGTTATCGCATCTGTCAAAGATTCCTTTGCATTTTCTTTGTCGGTCGTCGCTTCGCTGGTCGTCTTGGGTTCATTCAAAGATGATGCCTTTTCAATTGGCTTGGGCGCGGCAGAGTCTGTTTTGGGCTCAGGCTTCTGAATCTTCCTCTTACTTCCCGCGATGATGAGGACTGCATTCTCTTTCAATTCAAGGTCGGTGATAGTCTTTGCATCCTCTAAAATAGATCCGTTGTAACACAAATGCAGTTTTTCTGGTAGATAGTCTTCCTCAAGGAGTTTCTTGATATCCCAGATTGTAGAATCCTCCTTCACCTCCTTCTCGTATTCTTTCCCCCCGATGGATTTGAGGATAATCTTCATTGGATTCCTTTGCTGCTTTATGGTGTGTGTTTCTCTTCCCGTTACTGTTCCCTCACAACTGACTTAATTGGGGTCGAAAAAGGAGAAGCAGCAAACGCACACAAGAATGGGAACCCAAGCCATATGATAATAATAATAATAATAAATTCGCGCCTGGGACCGCAGGGGTAAGAAAAGAGAACAATTAAAAAGGGGATTTCATGTAGCGTACTTGTCGCCAACTGTACATGAATACGGGGTGAAAAGCAACACAAAGATAAACCAAAAACGCCACCTTCATGAGCCTAGAAAAATCTTACATTTCTTTCAAGCTTTTTCTTTAGAAGTGCATCGGCGGTCCCCTTGGGCGCTGTGGAGGGGCAACGGGAACTCTTCGCTTATACAGCTCCCAGCAGAAGTCGTAGTCAGCGGTCGTCATCCGAGGTACATATTTCGTGAGTGATGCGATATTTCTTCGGTTTCGTGCAACGAAATCCCGTTCAAATGCACTTGTAATGGTTTTTGGAGCCACGCGCGCTTCGCGTGGTGGGGAATCCACTAATTGGTCATCCTCACTGTCGTCACTCTGTACAGCTAGAGCACTGCCGAGCTGGACAGTACTGAAGGTCGCAGCAGGTGACTTTCCCTGCTTCTGCTTCTGCTTCGGTTTGTGGCGTAAGAGATCCCGGGTTCTCTGCTTTCGCAAAGCCGCTAGAGAAGCCTCATATGCTGGATTGCGTGTGTGTGTGTGACTCTTTGCAAGTGAGCTGCACTCGAGAGCGTAGAGGCATAGGGTCTGCTCGCAACGAACAACCTGTGCTTCTACAAGGTAACGAATTGTGCCACCGGGTTGGGAACCGGGAGGAAAAGCGCACAAGACATCGCTATTGGTGTCTAGCGTGCGCATCCAACAGGCCTGTGGATACCGTTGTTGCACGTGCGCAGGGATTCGCTTTTGGGAAGACATGATTCGAGTTGCCTCAAACAGAACCATTTTTCCTACGTCGCTCCAGTGCAGGGCGCCTACATCAACACCTGGGACCGACTCCTCCTCAACCTCTTTGTATGAAAAATCCGGTGACTGCTTTGCAACCGCTACATTGACAAACTCCTGTCTGCCAAAAACGTCTGGCAACTCTAGTGTGGCGCCAAAGGAACGCTCCAACGCAATAAGCTCCTCTGGCGTTGGAAACAGATCACGCTCAAGGGCATTCCAGAGAGAGAGGCAACCGCACAAAGCATCTAGTTTTGTGTAACACTTGACACAACTTTCCGAGAGCACCCTTTTCAGAAGGTAGTGTTGCTGCGAGACTAGTGATTCAATTGTCTCCTTGATACGTATGCGGTGAATTCGTCCTCCCGTGCCGCCAGCCTCCGCTTCGGCGCTGTCGAATATTTCCCCGGCTTCTCGGTTGCACTCAGCTGTGGAGGTCGGCGAGGACAACAACTCCACCGTCCCGGCGACAGTGGAGTCACGTTCAGTGACACGACCCCCAAGACCGGATGGCGCCACTGTTCCTTCCTTAGGCAAAATCGTCCTAGCCTCATCACCTGTAGTAGTGTCGTTTACTATTTGTGGCACCGTCACCAGAGGTGGAAACACAACGTAACTACGTCTTGGCACAAACAGCTCCGCATTCATGAGTAACACCAGTTTCGGGTCGTGGCCGGCAGCCGCACTAGCCCGCTCGAGAATCTTATGCACCTCTGCGGCGGGTCCCTCCACACAAATGATTCGCATGTTATCGTCCATCACTTCGAACCCACTAATCCCAGGCGGTGTGACAATTTTGAAAGGAGCATCAAATAGGGATATAGGAGAAGGGGGTCGAGGAGGCGGTAGCACCTGGCCCTTATGTGGTTTGCCACGGTCTTTTTTCTTATCTTTGGGTGGCGGGGCCTCCGGCTCTGGTTGAGGCAGCTTGTATTGATACACGTCGCTTTTTTCGTGTGCTTTTTTGAACTGAAGAAGCGTAGTGATCAATGCCTCCAAAACATTTGATGTCCACTTAGCTGCATAGGGCATTCGTATAAGACCACGCGTAAGGAATCGACCGTGTGCAGGCTGCCCGTCACTGTCAACGTGACTTGGATACGGCAACGGGGTGAATAAATCGAACCGCAGAGAAACAATCGCACCTTTGGTGAGGCAATTATCATCCAGAGCAGGTGTAGTACGGTTAGGCAAAAGATGCACTGTTTCACTAAACTCTGTCTGCCGATCTGTCACGGCTGCACGTAGCGATAGTGTTCCGATCCCCACGCATGTTTTTGCCCCGTAGAACGCAGAGACTTCTATTTTATGAAAGAAGGCCTTCTGATACAGACTCAAAGGGGTCTGTGTGCCTAAAAACAACACGCGGCGATATAATACTTTTCCATTCGGGGCCACATCAAGCTTGGGTGATCGAAACTGAATATCGCCAAATTTCACTGACAGAAATACGGGCTCATCTCGGACGCTTGGTTTTGGAAGATTGCAAATGGAGTGAACCTCAATCTTCAGCGGACGGTATCTATTGAGCTTGGTCGGTGGTAGAAAAGCGGTGCCGCATCGAATCTCGATGGCACAATCCTGTAGCATCGCATCTGGGGCAAGAGATACCGGTAGCCGCATGGACGGCATCGTCAGGAGATCGACCAAATCAAAGCTTAGAAACAGTATCTTCTCTGCTTTTTCAAGTGAAACCACATCTTCATCTCTCTTGTTGCGGTCTTTCTTTCCCACCAGCTTTGTTGTTTTCGGTGGTATGGATGTACTTCCCTCCGGTTGCTCCTGGGGAGGTCGCACGTAGAGTGCCACCGTGTTAGCTTCATTAACGAACTGTTCTACGAAGGGGAGCGATAATGTTATCTTCCGACGAAGAAAGCACGCCTCAAGGGACTCTGGGGTACGTTCAACGCTATCCAAACTGCTCGCCAGCGTTTTTCTATCCTCTTGACCCCCCAGGTTTGTAACAAAAAGAAAGTCTGACGGGTCCTGCTCCTCACAGAACTCAGAGGAGGCCCGAGCATAGAGCCAGAATTCCAGTATACGGTCATTCTCATCGTTGATAGTCAAAGCGTCATCGATGCGGTTGGCTTTGGGCATTCTCTTTACAAACAAGCAGGGAAGCAAGGATAGGAAAGAAAAAAAAAAGCATTCGTACTTTTTTACACCACGTGGAGCAAATGACAAACAGAGAAGTAAAAAAGACAGGAAATTGTATCCAAGCAGGTGTAAAAAGTTGCATTGAATTTACAATATCCTTCTTGCCACAATATCTGTTAATCCAATGGCAGTGGGAGTCCCATATGTTTTCAAGGAGACGCGGTCAGTGGATTCCCAGAGAGCTGGGAGTGGATTCGATAAGGCGGCAGGGGCAGGCTGCAAAAAAGTTTGTGGCTGAACCTCCTCTACAATGGTCTGTGTTGAAATGTCATGACTCTTACTAGCAGGATCAAAGACGTATTCCACAAGTTTCTCAAGGTCACGCGCGTCTCGAATCCCTTTTGGCACACCTGCTCGTCTGTTTAGTCCTGCTGGGCAGCGAGGCGACCCAGCACCACCGTTAGCCGTTAGCCCCGTCTGGCACCAGGAATCACGCACGCCTCGGCGGCGCAAGGACTTGGGCGCAGCGCTGCTGAGAATGGTCGCCACATCTTGCTGTGCCGCCTCAACACCGCCTTGCCACTCACGCAGTTTCCCCTGTAGTTTCTGGTTATCCTGTACACTGTTGCACTCTCTTGCGCCGTGGAGGAAGGTTCCGGATTCGAGCAAACACTTTTGATGGCAAATAGATATCGCTATTTCAAAAGTACTTTTCGCCCCCTTGTATTGTCCATGACGAAAGAAACGCAAGGCAAGGTCCGAGCAGCTCGATATAATAACGTCATCAATCGCCGTGGAGTCCCCTTTAAGGGCAATGTTAGCCTCCACAACATCCAGAGCCTTCTGGTAATAAATGAGCGCAGCCTCGCGCGTCAGCGACAAATCACCAGCTTTTACCAGTAGTGGAATCAGGGTCATGTTTTCAACGCCCAGTAAACGCTCCCGAGTGTGTATCTCAGACCTTGTTCGATCCAGTTCATTTACAATGTCATTGCCACTGGGTTGTACCATAACACCTGTGTATTGGACACCAAGATTTTTGGCCGCATGCCTGAGCAGCGCTGTCGTGAACGCATCCCTCAAGCCACTTTCATGACAATTTCCCTTTTGCTCCATATCCCATGTACTTCAAGGAAAAAAGATCAACCAAAAAGTCATATCACGAAAAGAACAAATTTTCAATAAACTTACAGTCAAATTTGGATGCTGCATTGCCCAAAAGATATTATCTTTTTTTGGTTTTGCTTACTCCGCCAAGTAGAGTTGCCTTCTATAAAGGTTCTCTGTTGCTGTTGATGTTTTTGCTCTTTTTTTTCTTTTGTAACACATGCTATCCCTGTATCCTAAGGTTAACAGACCCGTAGGACTCTTGTGTTTTGTCTGACAACGCTTTACCTCCTGTAGAAGAATACAGCCACATGCCCAACAAGCCAAGCAGAAGGACCGAAGCCACAACCACAGCTGCAAGCTTGATTAACGGCAATGAATGCTTAACCTTATCAACCACAGAATCATGCACGTCCAGCTTGAAATCACGGAACTCGACAGTGGATTCAATCAACTGCACATGGCCAACCTCATCATCAATTTCGAGTGCAGCCACGTGTCCAGGATCGCCTTTCTTCCAACGGCTGAGACCAAAATCAATAGCAATCAAGCGGCCATCACAGAGACGCCAATCAGAAAAATCCTGGGGGTTATGGGGCACATGTCCCACCACAACCGATCTAATCCCTTTAAATTTCTTATTCAAAACCTTTTTTAGGCTTTCACACCGGACATTTAGAATGGAGCGGACAAGAATAGGATTGGCCACCTCGCTCCCATTATCTTCAGCCAAATCAAGCCCTGCTTTCCCTAAAGGAGTCAGGGTATTATTCACTAGTGCGCTCCGCATCGCGGCATTGAACCCTTCGACCTTATCAATTCCAGTGATCATACCTCCTGTTGCCGTTGAAAACCCACCATGCATGAAAAGGAACTCCCCATGATGAAAGATGGCTTTTCGGGTCCGCAGATACATTCCCACATCAGTTTTGTTGGAAAGCAGTTCATCACGGCCTTTTCTTCCACCAGAGTGCGCGAGACTTCCTGGGTCCACAGCACGGTAGTCGCCAACAAGATTTCGAATTTCATGGTTTCCCAGAAGCTGAATAACATCTCCACCAGCAGCCTGTGCCTCTTTTTCCAGCCTCATTAAAAGACGCACTATCATAAGATCATCAGGGCCAACATCGAGAATATCTCCAAGCTGGACAAAGAATGTATCTCCCCCTATCCAATGCTGGTGATCATTCACAAGTTCCGTGAGACGCAGGATGGAGAGGGTCTGATTGAGATCACCGTGAAGATCCCCCACAGCAACGATGCGTCGTCCATCGCAGCCGCTGAATCCCGATAGAGAGACAAGGAGGGCCCAGAAACACAGAAGAGCAACCGACATTTTTCCTTGTAAAGAGTAGAAGAGATATTAAGAGAGATACAAACCAACAGACAAAACAAAAAATGGGAGGAATAAACCTGGACAAGAATGTGAACGAAAAAATGCAGATATATATTTTTTTTTGCAACAACAGACACAAATATCTTTCAAGCCTGGCTTGCATCATCTGCAGGAACTAATGGATCAACATTGGCAGCCCACAATTCATCCGATCGCAGTTTACCCGTCGCGCAGTCAAAGTGCATGCCCAAACAAGGCTCTATAACGGTGTTGTTGAGTCGCCGCATAAGCTGCTCTCCTGGTTCGATGGCATAGCGCTGATTACCAGCACGCAGTAGGATTAAACACACTCCGGAAAAAAACGCCACGGGGAGAGATGCGTACTCTTGGAGATAAGGGAAACACCTCTCTGGCTTGACCGCTAAAACTGGCAATAAAAAGCTAAAAACAAATATAAAACAGGCCTCCAGAGTAAAGATCAGTGAGCAAATTGCCGTCAATAATTGAACAAAGTGATAGGACCGATCCTGTCGTACCATGATGTACTGAAGAGCAACCTCAAAAGCCGCGGTTCCAGCCAAGTCACGCTCCTTTTTTGGAACCTTCATTGCAATAAGCGTCCCAATCTACTACGCCCTTTAAATAATGATAGGATATGACGTACAAAAAGAAGATAAAGAGAAATTCGATTGTAAAACAATAAACAAGAATTCCTGGTGGCAGATAGTTTACAGTTGGCCATGCTGAGAGCAACTACGCCCTGTGAATATATATATATATATTTTTTTCCCCCTTCTGCGGCAACAACGTGTGTAGGGAGTCATGCACTTCGGCTTCCAGATAGTTTACATACGTGATAAAAAGTAATTCCGCAGAGCGATCAAAAGAGATACACGACAGCGCACGCGGATTACTTCTTTCCTGAATTCTTCGACTTCTCCAGAGAGTCTGTGCGTTTTTTCTTTTCCTCTTCTTGATAGCGTTGCCTCTCCATAGCTTCCTCAAGGAGAATTCTAGCATCATCTTCGGCACGGAGCCTCTCCTCCGCTTCTCTGTGAAGCCGGTCTGCCTCTTCCTTTTGTGTCTTTTTTGCTTTGTCCAAGTTATTTAGCACCGAATTTCTCCAGGTGCATCTCAGCTCCAGCATTTTCTGTATTTCTTCTTCCTCCTCCCTCTGTTTTTGCGCTTTCAGTTGCCGGCGCACGTCAGCCTCCTCCCTTGAGAATACTTTCTTGAGGTTGCGACCAACGTAATCCACAGGCTTCTTACGTGATGCATTCTCCACAGTGGGATCACAACCGGCATCAAGTAGAAGCGCAATGAGATCCTCCCACTCCTTTGAATTTGGCCGCTGGTGAATCGCCGCGAGATGAAGCGGGTTATTAAACTCGTCATTTTGAACATTGACAGACGCCTTTGCATCAATGAGAAGCTTTAGTATCTTGTAATCGCACCGAATTGCGCAGAAGTGAACGGGTCGATTGCCCTGCACATCGTGATGGTCGCAACAAGCCCCCTGACGGATGAGATATTCAGCCGCCTCCTGTTTGCCCATTTTTACAGCCATCAGCAGCGGTGTTGTGTCGTTGATATCCCGCTGATCAACTACTGCACCGTGCTCTACGAGCCACTGGCACACGCGAACATCACCATCTGATGCACTCTTGTGAAGTGCTGAGCACTTGCTGCGGTCAAGCTCATTCACTTTAGCCGTGGGATCCGGACTTCGCTTCAATAAAATCTCCATACATTCCACACTCCCACAGGCTGCAGCGGTGTGAAATGGCGTAGAAAGGGTTGCAGCCTGCACCGTATCATCCGCCCCATAGTCTAAAAGTGCCTCACAGCACTCAACGTAATTGTTTCTAACAGCCTCATGCAGCGGTGTACGTCCCTGAAAATTAGGGGCGTTAACATTCCCTGCAAGTTCTTTGACTGTGAAAGCCAGTATGGTTGTATCTTTTCCTAGAGACAAGTGAACGAGTGTATTCCCGGTCTCATCGACGCATTTGGAAACATTTTCCGCAACACTCAGAAAGTCTCTGCGAAGACGCGCTAGAGTATCCATGTCACCCTTTACCACAGCTTCACGCACTGCGTCTAAGAGATCTTTGGGCCCTTGCGGCCCACCCAGACAGGCCGCTGTACTCATTTGTCTGCACAAGAAGAAACAAGAAGAGACAAGCCCAATGTATACGTACACAAACCCATACAGGTAGAGAGATAGAGAGTCATGTGTTTCGCCCAATGGATACGAGCCAGTGATCTGAAATTAAAGCAGCCTCCATGCGTCTTGTGTTCTTCAAAACCAATTACTCGACAGTTACACCACATTCATGAAGCCATTCCTTAGTAACAATGGTTAAACCCAGCATCATGGTAGAAGGGTCCTTTGTTTCGGACCGGACAGATCTTTGCAAAAACGCAAAAGTAACGTACTCAGGTGGAGGATACGTCCGCGCAATGGAGCTGGTCGGATGAATGTATGCTATCATGGATGAGTCCAGGATAACGTAAGGAGCTTTTGTTGTTTTATTATCTTTGTACTCCACTCCATGGTAACGGCATTCCTGAATAGTAGCCCGTCGCGCGACTTGATCCACAAGTCCAAAGATAAAAAGTTTTCGTAGAGCAACTTCCTGATCTTTCGAGAGCGTAAGTAGACCATTATCACCAAAGAGTTTTTCACAGTTCGCAGTGCCAACATCATTGGCATCAAGAGTATCATCGACTTGTTCTACAATACCATCCTGCCGACTTAAGACTCGAAGTTGTTCGCCTAACTGAGACGCCTCCAATAGACTTTTTTGAACCAAGCAGTGCCGCCTACAATTTGCCACGCTTGGATCATTCAAATAAACTCCAAATGCTTTTAGACAGGTAAGTAAATCACTACCAGGATGTAGAAGAGACTGAATAAGAGTCTTAGACTCCTCACTATCAGTATTCGCATCGACCGACTTCCATTTTAAAGAATTCCCTTCGCGAGTGAAGACGCTTGTGGTTGTTGAATAAATTGAAACAATGAGAATTGCCATAGAGAGAATCGATTCTGAAACCTTTTGATCTAATGCCTCCGCAATCACGCGTGAAAATCTGGGAGGAATTGGATAAGCAATTAGGCGCTTTCCCATATTTGTGATGCGATGATCCTTTTGAGAATCCAAAGCGCCAATAAGCGATAAATGTGACAAGGCTCGCTTTAAATCACTCTCCTTTGGTGGTGAAGGGAACGGAAATGATCCAACGTGATCAATACCCAGGTGCTTCATCATCAAAACTACAGACTCCAGTGATGTTCTTAATATCTCAGGCGAGCTGTGTTTTGGCATCACATTGGAGTATACAGCAGTACTATAAAGACGGTAGCAATGGCCCGGTCCCACACGCCCTGCACGCCCACTACGTTGTTCTGCAGAAGCTTGACTCGTCCACTCAATGCGAAAGCAGCTTGCACCAGTAGATTCATCAACTGTTTTCATCTTTACTCTACCAACATCAACAACATATCGAATGTTTGGAATAGTAATAGATGTCTCGGCCACATTTGTAGCGACAACACAAAGACGTTTTCCTGTTGGTGGTTCTCGGAAAACCTCCTGTTGTTTTCTGAAATCCATCAAAGCATAAAGTGGAAGAATGTGCATTGAGTTATATTCACCATTAATTTCATCCTCTTCATATACCTCTTCTTCTTCTTCTTTTTTAGTATCCAAAGCATTTCGGTCTCTTTTCCTCGAAGTAAAGGAGGCCCCCGTCTCGGTGTCCATGTCGAGCGCATAATCCTCATTCTTGAGACCAAATTCATCTTTTTCACCAGATGACTCCTCATCATTCTCAGAAGCAGTGTCATCTTTTTGCGCACTGCGAACAATGAGACTATGCTTTGAGTAGCTCTTATCATAATACTCAATCCTTGTTTTGGCATAATGCTGACGAAGACATTCGCAAAGGGATTCAATTTCTTGTTGAGTGGAAAGAAAAATAAGTATCCCACCAGGAGGCAGCTTTTTGTGAATTTGGCAAACTTTTCGAAATGCTTCATGGACATAATCCCGTAACTCAGTACGTTTTGCAAAATGATTCGTCACCGGAAATCGACGCGCCTCCACACTAATTAATGGTGGTGGAATCGGAAAGAGCCGACGATTCTCTTTAAAATCAGCAACCCTCATTGTAGCGGACATAATAACCAGTTTAAGGGGTTTCACAGTCGTTTTCTCAGGTATTCCTTTATGTTTTTGGAGTTCTTCCAGGTAAAGATCATTTCTTAATGGCACAATTCGGGATAAAAGGCCTATTAAGATATCGCCAGCTACGCTACGTTCATGTGCCTCGTCTACAACGACAACACTATACCTCCGCAGAAGAAAGTCCGATTGAATCTCCTTCAAAACAATTCCTTCAGTAGCAAATTTCATTTTGAAGCTGTCAGAAAGATTATTATCGTACCGGACGTGGTAGCACACGTTTTCCCCAAAGGTTGTCCCTAATTCCTCTGCCACACGTTTAGCCATTGAAACTGCAGCCACTCGTCTAGGCTCTGTAACCAATATGGCCCCTTCTCTCGCAAACGGCGACCCCTTCAAATCGCCGTATCCACACTCCCATAGGAACTGGGGAATTTGTGTCGTCTTTCCGCTTCCAGTCTCACCACAAATCAGAACGCATGTTCGAGAAGAATTGTTAATAGCCTCAACAATTACTTGTTCCTCTCGAAGAACTGGAAGTTCCTTTCTCGTCTTTTCTATCTCAGGGCTACGAGTCACTGGGATGTGCACATTTTTCGGGGCCATTTTAGCAAGCTTTTCATTGCTCGATTCAATAGTTTCCTTTATTTCTTGCATCCGTTTTTCTTCTGCCTCACGATCTGCCGCCAAATTTGAAATATAGTTTTGTTGTGTAACTATTGACTTCTGCTTCTTAAGATACTCCTCGGTTTCCCGTTCCTTCCGCAAATGCTCTTGCAACTCTGAAAGTGCTTTTCTTCGTGCCGTTTTCTCGTCTTTTTGAATAGCCACTTCCTTTTTTACAAAGGCCTTATGCTTTTCCACTTTAGCCCTACCGAGAGACAACTGTTCCTCCGCTTCTTTTAATCGTGCGTTCTTCTCTTTTTTTATTTCATGCTTCTCTTTCTTTTTTTGCTCTCGGGTCGATGATAGCACATGGGGTACTGGTGTTGAAAGCCCCAAATCTAGAAAGCTAATAGACCGTTTGGGGGGCATCAAGACTTCAAACGATCCACTTGCTAAAACACCTAAGATAATCATTAAAGGAGAAAAAAATATACAGGAAAGAAGAAAAATGTTTTCAGTCTTAAAGAATAACACCAGCCAAGAAAATATATTATGTGTAAATAATAAATACTACACTTATTTTCATTAATTTCTGTAGTCAACAAGACAAAATTGAGTCAAAACGTCTACAGAACCTTTCATTATTATTGTCCTATCTAAATTATTTTTTCGAGTTTTGCTTCTGTGCTGCTTTCTTAGCAGCCTTGGCAGCCCTTTTCGCCGCCAAATCATTCGCAGCCGATGAATTCCCTTTACCCCACATCGTCTTCAAATACTGCGCCTTGGCACTTAGGTGATTCACCTTTTCACGTCCATCTGAAATAGAGATGAGAACCTTTTGCGGATTAACACTATCGACAATGTAGTACCCTCGGCGTTCAAGCTGAATTGTATCACCCTTCTTAAGTGAAGAAAGAGCCTCTTCTCCGTATGCCTCTTGAGTAAACATGGTTACAGGAGCAATAATGTCATCCAGATTCTCTTCAGGCTCCGGCTTTTTCTTTGTGAGAAGATGATCATACTCAACAAGTTTCATATGCTCGGCATTGGGATTCTCTGGTACCCAAGTCAACTTATATTTCGTCTTTTTAACATCGCCCTCAAGATGAAGCACAATATCGGCATCTGTTATACAAGAAGAATCTCCAGAAGTGCGAATGTTTTTTATGTAGGCATTTCCCCAATCCATCAATGTAATTTCATCTCCTTCTTTCAGGAGGGCGACATCCTCTGTATCGAGGAAAATAACGTCGGATTTAAAAAAAGTCTTTGTGCCCATTTCAGGCACCTTCTTATGCATAGGTTTTTCGCATTTTTCAAGATGCTGTTGACCTTCGACAGTACAACGCACTTTCAGAGTATTAGAAACAACTGTATAGCGCGGTACAGAAGGGTCGAGAATCTGAGCATTCAAAAACCACAGCCTTGCCCATTCCATAAAATTAACAGTTTTTGACATACCTTGCTCTTGTACAAACTGCCGCAGTGCCTCCATCTTTAAGCCGCGTCGCACCAAAGCACGAACTGTTGGTAAACGAGGGTCATCCCAACCATCAACAATACAATTCTCAACAAGTTGAGTTAGCTTTCTCTTCGACATCACAGCAAACTCCATATTCAGCCTCGAGAAATCTTCCACAATAGGTTTTCGAAGGTTTAAAGTGTCACAAAACCAGTAATACTGAGCATTGCGGTCATGATATTCGGTAGTACGCAGTGCATGCGTAACACCCTCAACAGAATCAATAATTGGGCAGCAAAAATCATATGTAGGATAGGCATTGTATTTTCGTTCATACTTGGCGTGGGGTGTTTGATTGACCCGATATATTACGGGATCTCTCATTGCCTTATTCTCATCGTCAATAGAGATTTTCGCCCGTAAACAGGTTTCCAGACCTTCTGCTGTACCCTGTTTCATTTCGTTCCAAAGCCGTTTCGTCTCTTCAATGGTCAAATCACGATAACGAGTGGGAGTCCCATCAAATCGGCATTTCCTCATTTCTTCTTTGGGTGTTTTGTCACAGTAGGCAAGTCCCCTGGCGATAAGTTCTTCAGCCTTTTCGTACATGAGATCCATGTAATCCGAAGAATGTGTTGGTCCACTGTCCCATTTTACTCCAAGAGTAGCCAAGTCATCCAATATAGCCTTTTCAAAATGTTGTTTTTCCTTTGAAGGGTTTGTATCATCAAAGCGCATAAGAAGCTTTCCCTTGAACTTGATAGCGAGCAAGCTGTTTATCAATGCCGCCTTCGCGTGTCCAATGTGGAGAAAGCCACTTGCCTCTGGAGGAAAGCGAGTGACAACCTTCCCTTCCTCTGCATTTGTCAGAATGAGTCTATCTGGCTCCTGTGTTTGATCCGAAGCTGTTTTGCCACCACCACGCTGAGAAAAATAGGTCTTGGTTAACCAAAGCGCCTTTAAATGAATATCAACGGTCATTTGTTTTGCTAATCTAATCATAGACAATAAAAAACTGAAACCAATAACAATACCACAAATAAAATAACACAGCCGTTCTTGCAACCCACTCACAAAACCAAACCCCAAAAACACCGCAAAACCCCACGTTTGCCGTGCTCTCCGTGCCGCCCCGAAATCTGGAGACCCCGGGCCCCCTCACACACACACCAGCCCCCGCGCCGCGCCAATTGCGGCGGCGGCCCCGCCC